CCCCAAAACCCCAAAACCCCAAAACCCCAGGTTACTGAATTTTAGTAATTTCATGCTAGGAGAGTAATAGTGCACAACATTTTAAATATATTAAATAATATCAGATTAGATAATGAACGAATTTTCGCATTACTATAGCACTTTCTCTGACGAGGAAAACTCTAAATCAGAGAAATTCATTGACATCAATTACTATGAAGATGCAAATTATCACTTTGAACATCCTGAGTTTTATCAAAATCAACCTTCAAAGAGATTTGATTAAAGCCATATTAATTAAGATCAAAATCTCGTGAAACAGGATAATAGTATCTTCAAATAGTTTGGAAATGAACATCTTGATCATAACTATCAAATTTCTCAAGATAATTCTCATCTTTAATTTGAAGGTGTCTTCAATATTGGTCAAAATCATTTAGATAGCAATGTTGACAGGAATTCAACAGAAAAGTCTAATTAAATAGAGCAGACTTTCTAGCTTGGGATAAAAATGGAAGCACAAGAATAATTTAATTCAAATAGTAATAGTTATTACAACCTTGAGAATGATACTGGTGGCTAAATGAAAAAAATGAAAAATAACTTTGAGTCTACTGAGAGCTCTCTCATTCACTACTAATCTGAAATTGCTAACTAAAATCATAGATTTGATCAATAAACTAGTGAAGAAAGGAGTCTTGCATCTTATCATGATTTAAGGTCTAGTCCATAGATTCAGCCGCAAAAATAGAAACTTGAGTTGGTTTAAAAATCAAAGATATAATCTTATAACGAATAATCCGAAAAGAAAAAGAGAATTTAAAAGGACTCCAAAAAGAAATCTAGTGAAAAGACCAAATCCAAAGGTCCCGAAAAGAAAAAGAAAAAAAGTAATCAATATACTGAGGAAGAACTAGATTAAGAATTAGAGGAATATACTTAAGGTGAGGAAATAATTATCAGGCAATAATCACAGCTACTCGAATTAAAATAAACTATTATTGATAAAAAGGAGCTGTAAATTTAAAGAAATCGCATAACAGCCTAGCTAAGCAGAGATAAAAAGGAATTGGAATTCAAATATCTAAGAAATAGAGTAGTATATCTATAAAATTCAGTCAACAGATATGAGACAGAGCAAGTAAAGCAGGCAAAACTCAGATTAAATGAGGAAAAAGAAGGTTAGTGCCAAAACTAAGATTAGTTGACACGTATAATTTAGTCCTCAAAAAGTAAGCAACTGAATGTTAAAGATCGAATAAAAATTGAATCTAATATTAAAGATTAGTCATATACTAAGAAAAATAGCAGTAAGTTATTGAAACCTAGAACTTCTTCAAAGATAACTAGTGGATTAATGATGGCTGTTGCATTAGTATCAATAATTTGCTTGTCAGCTAATCCCATAAATTAAATGATAAGTCCAGCCTAAACATAGTTGCACTAGAAAATTGAAACTAGTTAGTTTATCAATGGAGAAGAGTTGAAATAGTTTAATGAAAATTTCTTCATTTAATTCTCAATGAATTAAGTTAATCAATCGATATAAGACTCGATTAAGCATTCTTCATCACTCTATTAATCAGAAAATAGTTTTGTAACTTTTTAATCCAAAGCGAGACATTTGAGGGGTCTTTAGCTATAGCAAAATTCTATATAACCCCTAGTTGTTTAAGAAGTTAATAAACTTAGCCTGAAAAAGGATAAGACTACTAGACCACTTTATGAAGATTATAGAGATAAATAAGGTATCATTTATGCAATTGATGATGATGACAACTAAACCAATGATTTTGAAAATACGACTTTGGAATAAGAATATAAAAAAAATATTTATGAACAGTTTCAAAGATAATAGAAACTTATAAATAACGATGACTTGGATGATTTTGAGGATCAAGATGATTATTTCACAAAGGAACCTGCCTAGGTTTAAATGAGTTGCTAGCTTCAAGGAAATCTATTTAATATGCAAAAAATCAACAATATCAAAAAGATAATACATGAATTGTACTAAATTATATACCTTTTTAATATCAACTATAGGTTTGACATAGTGGTTAAAAACTAAAACAGAAATATGGCCCTCAACATAAGTTTCAATGATAATGAATACGATACTACTTATCAAAATAAAGTAAAGAGGTAGTAATATGAGATTCTTGTCACTAACATGAAATTCGATGGATAATCAATAGAGCTTGGCAGTCTTTCTGCATGATGAACATAATCTGGAAATTTTTTAATAGTAAAATGGCTATTTCTAAATGATTTAAAACCATATAAATTATTAAAAATTGAATTTAACTAGTTAAATATTCTAAATATAATTATTCATAGGAAATAGTTCCATACGGCTATAAGTCCATCTCTACCAGTACTAACGATCTATTTGTCATCAGGTGAGAATCTAACAGAGGTGATAGCATTAGAATGAGCCCTGCACTCGGTAATAAAGGCACCACTGCCATAGTCATAAATTCTAACTATACCTAATTAGCCTCCAGTGACGAAGTATTTGTTGTTATTTGAGATACAAACAGACATAAGTTCATCTGATTCACCTCTGTATGGGCTGCTCTCTAGAATAATTTCTGGCTGAGTTTTTCTTAGGTCCCAGTATGTAATTTTTCTTTCTTAACCAACACTCATAAATTTGTTATTATCAGTAGGTGAAATACTGAAGCAGTTTACACCTCCCATTCTTTGAGTTTGATTCGCAACTCTCTTTTCGTTTTTCAAGTCCCAACAGAGGATAGCCTTGTCTCTTGCGCATGTTAAGAGATGAATATCATCGGGGAAGACTTGCACTTTAGTTACTTTACTGGTGTGTTCCTTCAAATGCGACACTAATTCTCTTGATCTGATCTCCCAAACTCTACATTCTCCTTCATTACCACCAGAGCATATAAATTTAGAATTAAAACTCAAGCAAATAGCAGTAACTCCGTTCTTGTGGGCATTATCTATTTGCCATAAAGGTGTAGATCCTTCAACTCTGAATGATCTAATTTTACCATCATTCCATCCTGAAATGATTACTTCATCTGTAAAAGTAGAGCAATTTGGGAAAACTCCAGCAGCAGTTACAACTGAGCATCTTGCAATAACTGAGTAATCATTACTGTCCCAAAGTCTAATAGTACCATCCTCAGAGCAAGTAGCAAATTTATCAGAAACTCCATTCATATATGCAACATCTAGGACTGGTTCGGTATGATTCTCACACAAGAGCATCTTAGAGAAATCACTTACTCTAAGTCTAAAGATAAAACCTTTATCTGTCGCAGTTAGAAGTTAAATACCGTCTTAACTTGATGAAAGACCATGAATTGAACCGAAGACCTGAGTCTTGAGGAGAGCTTGACAGAAATTTTAGTCGACATGGAAGAGAACGATTTGTCCATCACCACCTCCAACGCATATCTTATCAGTTGTCACTGCCTGAATGCATTTAATACCTTAGGCACAGACATTTTAGGTAAAGACCAAAAGCTTATTCTTAACTTGGAAACAGCAGAAATCTCCTGACATGGAACCAGCATATAAAAATTCTTCAGCAGGCTTACTGAATGCAAGGCATGAGTATTCTCTCAGAAAAGCACCAGTATTAACAAGATCGTTAGCGACCTAACCAGTGGCTGGATCTAATTGAGAAAGGACTAGTTTCTTTGATCCACTCATTGCAAACTGATACTTATTTGTTGGTCTTAACTTGATATCTTTAACATAACCTCCCCAGCTTACACATCTTGGGGCTTCAGCAAAAATAGTGGGGATAACTTAAACGGATGACACGATAAATCCATTAAGAGTGTTCCAAATAAACATCTTTCCATCAAGTTAATTTCCTGTTGAAATTAGAAGTCTGTCATCATGAGAAAAATCTAAATGCGTTACTTCATAATCATGTTCTGATAATCTAAATAAAGCTCTCTTAGAAGCAAAGTCCCAAAGTACAATGTCTGCATTATCACCTCTTTATCCTATAAGACTCTAAGACAATCATATAATATATACCTGAGGCAACCATTGTTCCGTTATGAGCTACAGCAAGGCAGGTAATTTAATCATCATGAGCTGTAAGAAAATTCTAATTATGAGGATCGCTTAAATCTCCAACTACTACACTGCATCCAGCTATTAGGACATAGTCTTTGGCATTTGGGTGAAGATAAACACCGTTGACTACTTTACCACTAAATCCTATCGCGTGATCTAATTCAATTTGATCTCCAGTGGTAACAGGCTTCATACCGTTTGAAGCACTTGTCTTTGGTAGTCCTTAACTTGATTACATTTGTTTATCCATTTCTTAATTTTAAATTATTCATAATCTTTAATTCAATTTAATAAGCAATTCTCCAATTTTACTGCGACAAAATTAAGTATCAAGGGGTTTTGGGGTTTTGGGGTTTTGGGGTTTTGGGGTTTTGGGG